CCTGCTGTTGCAGGGGCCATTGAGGTTCATGCAGTCTGTAGCCCCGCACCACCCCAGACTGCAGGGGTGCCCTCTGGCGTCTGTCTCTTTGGTGCAGCTGCATGTCTTTTCTGCTGGTGGTGTCTGCCTGGCATTTTCCCTATCACCACTTCTAATCCCATTATGGACCACTCTGTGCCAGGCGCTGTCCGACCAAGTAAAACATCTGCCCTCACATACCTTACTTCTCTGAGGCTACTTAACAAACATTACGGCATGCATTCTAGGCCTTTTTAAGTGTTGCTCATCTTGACTTCAGAACTTGCCCTTGAAATTATCATTTATCTAAATATATCACTGCTATCATCTGCTTTTGTATGGTTTGCCTCTCTTCTCTAAACAGAGTGGAGAAAAAGAAATGATGGTTCGTTGCAGCTTTCATCTGTTGGGAGCTCTTCTGTTCTCAGGGTATGCTGACCAAGTCCCAGGCCATCAACAGAGATATCCTCTTAGCCCAACTCTGCTGATCCACCCTGGAGCACAGAAGCATGTCTGGGAGATGCGCCTCCCTCCCTGCCCCCACCCACCCCTTCAGGCAGATGCTGAAACAGCTTCCTGGCTCCTTTGAGCCCCTAGGTGGCAGGGATGATACTACGTTCACCTTTGACCCCTGATGCACGGCAGTTTCGGAAACATAGGACATATTTAATATATAGTTGTGGAATCAGCAGAAGAAAAGAGGGAGACAGGGACAGAACTGAAAATGAAATACCAGATTCCCTTCCAGGGCAAAAAGTTAGATGGTGTCAAGTAGAGGATTTGGTGAACAGATTTTGTTGCTCCTTCATATGTGTGAAATTTCCTCCCAGGGAGTATCTGATGAGCTAGAAGAATCTGATATTGTAAATACTGAAATAAATACCCCAAACTGGAAGGGTTTCCAATAAGGTTAGAAATAACATTAGGATAGTTATATAACAGGAAACATCTCAGAATACTCTTAAAGTCTACAGCTCTCAGGAGGAAAAAACACAGCTTTCTAAAGAAATCCAGTGTCAGGAATAGCTGTAGCAGTAGCTTCTTATTAATATGCATTTTTTATGTTTTAAAACTCAAACTATGGCTCAGCCTGTAATCCCAGCACTTTGGGAGGCCAAGGCTAGTAGATTGCCAGAGCCCGTGGGTTCAAGACCAGCCCTGGCAACTTGGTAAGACCTTGCCTCTACAACAAATAGAAAATTAGCCGGGCATGGTAATGCACGCCTGTGGTTCCAGCTACTTCGAAGGCTGAGTCAGAAAGATTGCCAGAGCCCAGCAGGTCGATGCTGGGGTGGCCGTGAATGTGCCACTGCACTCCAGCCTGGGCGACAGAGTGACTCCAACTAAAAAAAAAAACAAAACCTCGAACTATATAGATTTGAATGTCTTATCATCCTCTCTCCATCTTTTTCCCCCTGCCATCTTGTGTTGCTGGATTTCAGTAGTGTGAATGTATCTCTGGTTTGGGTTTTGTTTGTTTGTTTGTTTGTTTTTTGCCCTTCTCCTCACCCTTCATTAAATTAATACTATTTGGTATTTGATTTTAGAGCAGATGTTAAATGGGTTTTATCTCACATGTCAATTTCAGTAGATTGGTTGTAGCTTACTAGAGTGTTGAGGAGGATTCTGAAGCTGGATCTAAGTTCAATGGGGAGAGTTTCATGGAAAGAGTTTGGAGGGGCTTGGAGAGTAGCAATATGTATGCCACATATTTGCCATCCCTGTTTCGGGGACAGTAAAGTGATGAAACCAGGGAGCTGTGTCCTTCAGGCTTAGACCTAAATAAGAGTCAGCTAAAGTTATTTTAACGTCATTTTCATTTCAGAGCCTGAAATTGTTGGCTTTCAAATCATGTTCTACAGTGGCTTGAATGCAGTACCTTCGTGACTAGGAAAAAAAAGAGAGTGAGCATCTTAACAGTGTTTAAATCTTTATCTGATACTAAATTGGACTTCATGATTACAGAAGGGGCAGGAGTGGGAGACTTATTTTAAAAGTCTCAGCTAGGAGCGGTGACTCAGCCTGTAATCCCAGCACTTTGGGAGGCTGAGACGAGAGGATTGCCTGAGCCCAGGGGTTCGAGACCAGCCTGGGCAACTTGGTGAGACCTCGTCTTTACGATAAATCAAAAAATTAGCCGGGCATGGTGGCACACACTTGTAGTTCCAGCTACTTGGAAGGCTGAGGCGGAAGGATTGCCTAAGCCCAGCAGGTCGAGGCTGAGGTGGCTGTGAGTATGTCCCTATACTCTTGCCTGGGTTACAAAGTGAGACTCCAACTCAAAAAAAAAAAAGTCTCTCCAGTAAATATTTACATTGGTGATTTCAGAGGCAGTTTAAGCTTCTGAAACTTGAGCTACAACTGGATACCTCTAACTGAGCTTGTAAGTTGCTGTCCACATTGGTTACTTGGGGTCTAAATTTGTGCACTGAGAATCGGAATGTGCTGAGGAGCGGCTAATGGCTCTCACCCAGCAATGGTTTTATTAATGGCAGTCAGTGACACAGACACACCTAGCATCTTTTGCCAAAGGAGAATCCATCCAGTCATCTCGTTTGAGGCATTGTTTTTGAGATGGAGAAACTGAGGCGTGGCCCATGATATTACCCATCCAAGCTGGAATGAGTGAGCTCTAATAACAAATTGGCCCAAAGTCTTCCAAGCCCAATCAGTTGGTCAATTAAATACATTTCTTGATTGCTCTCCATGTGCCCGTGTAGACACTGCAAATGTAGTTATGACTAAGGATGCTAGTCTCCCTGGGTGTCCAGGGAAGGCTGCTTGGAGGAGGCAGCATTCACATTTAGAATGAAATGAGGTGGGAAGATAGAGTTGGTGTGGAGAAGATCTTGGGGAGATCCTTCCCAGCCACAGAAATAACAAAAGCAAACTTGTTTGAGAGATGGAAGAAAAGCCAATGTGGTGGGAGCCAAGAGAATGCCCAGACATTAGCCTGGATATTTGCAGAATGGTTGTGGGTGATGGTAATTTCTGGTAAGCCTTGGAACCTTTCATTGTACTTCCTGAAGCTGCTTTTAAATAAACCATTGCATGTGATGGGAAAGTGCTTGCTTAGCTATACAGAGAGAGTATGAAGCATTCTCCAAATAAAGATGAACCTCAACATGACATAATCCCTTTGAGGGAGGTATGTACTGCAGGTGAGGCCCATTTCTGTTCTGCAGAGCCTGTGCAGGCTGATGGGAGTAGGGAGCACGGTGACCATAAGCCCATTAGCTGGGTGGGGAACGAACACCATGACGCCATCAATGACTGACCCTGTGTGCTGAGTCCAGCCCAGGCCTCCTCCACAGCCCCGATGCCTGCTTATTGTGTCCATGAATGCTTCAAAAGCAACACGTCCATAAAAAGGGAAAATAGACTCCCCTGCCAAACTACACATGCTTCTGAATTTTCTCATCTTGGTTGCTGGCTGCAGTCTGGGCTCAGGCCTCTAAACTAGAAGCTGGCAAGCCGTCTCCTCCCTTGGTGCCTTTGTAGACCCTTCTGTGGATGGCCTTTCTGCCCAGCCCCCTGCCTTGGCAAAGCTGGCCTTTCAAGGTCAGCCTTCTCTGACCTTGTCTGGGCCAGATTCCTCTCTGCATCTCTGTGCGCCCGCTTGGCAGAGTGTACATCATATTCTGGACTGGCCGGCGCCTCCAAGAGGCTGCGAGTATCTCACAGCAGGGAGCTTGTCATAGTCATTGCAGATCCTCGGCCACCTGCACGCAGTAGGGTTCCGCTGATGTTTGGTGAACTATTGAGCAGTGGAGCTGGGCCCCTTAGTAAGCAGTGGTTTTAGCTATTTGCTCATGACACTCAAAGGAACACCAAGTGAAGATGAATACTAACCACAGCTAACTATTTTCTTCTTTATATTCCTCTGAATTCATTCAGGCTCCTTACAGGAAGTAGCTATCAATTATTGTTAGAACCTTTTGTGGTAGAATGTGCATAACATAAAATTTAGCATTATAGCCATTTTCAAGTGTGTAATTCAGTAGCATTAAGCACATTTATATTGTTGTGTGATCATCACCACCATTCATCTGCAGAACTTTTTCATACATCCCAAGCTGAAATTCCATACATTTTAAACACTAGCTCCCCATTCCCCTCTCCCCTCAGCCCCTAGTAACCACCATTCTACTTTCTGCCTCTATGAACTTAACTACTCTAAGTTAGCTCATGGAATCACACAGTATTTGCCTTTTTGTCACTGGCTTATCTCATTTAATGTGTCTTCAAGGTTCACCTGGCTTATAGCATATATCAGAACATCCTTCCTTTTTAAGGCTGAATACTAAATTTCATTGAATGTATGTACCACATTTTGTTTATTCATTTATCTGCCGATGGACATTTGGGTTGTTTCCACCGTTTGACTGTTCTGAATGATGCTACTATGAATACTGGTGTGCAGATGTGCAGATATCTATTGGAGTCTCTGCTTTCAACTCTTTTGGGGTTGTACCTAAAAGTGGAATTGCTGGCTGGGTGCAGTGGCTCAAGCCTGTAATCCCAGCACTTTGGGAGGCTAAGGCAAGAGGATTGCCTGAGCCCAGGGGTTCGAGACCAGCCTGGGCAACTTGGCGAGATCTTGTCTCTACAATAAATGGAAAAATTAGCCGGGCATGGTAGTATTTCTGTAGTTCCAGCTACTAGAAACACTGAGGCAGAAGGATTGTCTGAGCCCAGCAGGTCGAGGCTGCAGTGGCCATGAATGTGCCACTGCACTCCAGTTAAAAAAAAAAAAAGTGGTATTGCTGTATTATATTATATCAAAATTACTTTTAAAATTTAGAAACATTGTAAATATTTTCGCATAGTCATTTTCATTCAAACCATAGGTCACCTTAAGATGAGAGGCCACAAAGAAATGCAGGCTGAATGTTCAGGCTTTTGTTCTTGTGACTTGTGTGATGACCCTTGGTGACATGAAATGGTTTGTTTTCAAGTGTGGTTTTGATTTTTTCTTGCAGCATCAAGCTTCTAGCTGTGCAAGAACTACTTGACAGAGAAGCCTTGGAAAAGGTAAATATTTTGCTCTTCTTGTCCCACTTTCATGAACTGAGAGCAGAGGCCCACACACAGGAAAAAAATCCAGCTCCCTGTCGCCGGAGACAGCACCGACTGCAAGGTGGTCAGTTATTTTATATTCTTGATGGCCAGTGAACCATGCAGAATTTTAATCTGAACTCCTCACCTTGCTCATATACTGTTCACACTTACAAACTCAGCCTTGCTTGGCGCCTTCAGGGTTGCGTGAGAAACAGAGGCTCTCCCTATGGTGGGACATACCCTGGAGAAGGCTTCCTGTGCCTCAGAGCACCAAGAACTGGGAGCTCCCGCTCTCCTCCGCGTGCTGGCATCTGTGCTGGCCCCTTCTCTTCATCTTTGCTCGGTGTGTGTTACTATCTGGGGATAGGGACGATGGAGTTGAGGCTCAGTGAGGGTGGGTAATAACTTGCCCAAGGCAAATGAACTAAGTAGAACAGTGCTGAGTTGAATCCCAGTAGTTCCACTTCCAAAACCACTGCTTTTCAAGTTCATGAGTTTGCATGTTTTTTAGGCAATCCTGAGGATTGGAAAACTGCCTCCCTGGCCCACGCTAATGTTTCACTATGTCCTGGAAGAGACCATGGTGTGTTTCAGCTTTTTATGTTCAAATCAAGCCTGCAGTTGGGAATCCGTTACTGATAGTGGATTTGAGTTCTGCATGGGCAGTGATGTGGGCTCCACAAAGCAGGCACCAAGGAGGCCAGGTCCCCACATGATACCCCATGGGCCTCCTAGTGCATACCAACTGCTCCCCTGTAATAGCTCTGGACTCTCCCTACAGATTCTGTGTCAGTCAGAATCTGTAATGCTAGCATGAAATGGTTAGAGAGATAAGCACCCAAACAATACTTTTTTATTTCCAGAACTTAAAATATGTAGATTAATACTCAGTCTGCTGGTTGGCACTAAAATGAATAGTCTTTTAAATAAGCACCAAGCAGAGATGTAAGGGGAGGAAGGGTCTGAGCTTGGATTTTTGTATTTAATGTCCCCTCAGCCTCATTTCCTTGTTGGATAAACCAAGGATAGTACTGCCGCCTGACCTCAGAGAGGCAAATGAGTTAGTCGATGAGTTAATGTAGCAAAAGGACTTTCTAAATGCAAAAGCACTCTACTCATATTAATTCTTAATTACCTATATTAATTCTTAATATGCAGTCAGCCATTAAAACATACTGAGTCTGGCTATGAAGGATATCAGTGGACCGAAAGACAACATTGGATGTGGATGGTAGACTAGATAAAGGTATTATATCAACACGAATTTTTCCTGAAGTGGATAATTGGCTTGTGGCCTTGTTCTTAGGAATTAACACTGACATATTTAGGAAAAAAGGGGTATGATGTTTATAACATGTTCTCAGATGATTCAGGAAAACAAAAATAGTGAGATATGTATATTAGACAGAGCCAGAGAGAGAAAGAGGAACATAATTGATCAAGTAAATGGGGCAAAATGCAAACAGTTGATCTTTGTGTGTAAAAGCATTTGTGAGAGTTCTTTGTATATTCTTGAAACTTCTTAAAAGTTTCTCCCCTCAAAAAATTATCTTCTTAGTATTCACTACAGTTGTTTGTTTTATTCCTCAATTAAAATAAAACACACACCAAACAAAGCTGGAAAATGTGGAGCCCCAGTACTAGAGAGAATATATAATAAAAACACAGGCACCAAAAATATCGTTTGGGTCTTTGAGCTGTGTGAATATCTAATTTAGAGAGGCCACATAGCCAAGCCAATTTGTGTGGGTATTAGCTGCTTACAAAATCTAAGAGAAGTGGGCTCGGGAATCGCTGCTGCTGGAAGTGGAGCGGTTGTGCTACCCTGAGAATTTGATGCTTGATGCTGAGGTTTTCCAGTCTGTAAAATGGAAATCGTCATACAGTCCCTAATTCACAGTTTTGTTTTGTTTGGTTTTGAGTTGGAGTCTCACTTTGTCACTCAGGCTGTAGTCTCTGTCACCCAGTCTGGAGTGCAGTGGCATGCTCATGGCTACAGCAGCCTTGACCTGTTGGACTCAGGTAATCCTTCCACGTCAGCCTTCCATGTAGCTGAAATTGCAGTCACGTACTACCATGCCTAGCTGATTTTTTTGGTTTATTGTGGAGATGAGATCTCGCCAGCTTCCCCAGGCTGGTCTCAAACCCCTGGGCTTAGGCAATTCTCTTGCCTTACCTCCTAGAGTGCTAAGATTATAGGTGTGAGCCACTGCTCCCGGCTTTCAGAGGTTTTAGGACGATTACTAAGTAGACAATCCATGTGAAGGACTTAAACACTATGTCAGGCGTTCAGTGCTCCTCCAAAATTAGCTGCTGCCATGTTCTTTCCTCTTCCTTCATCCCTTCCTTTGCCTCCTCCTCCCCCTCCTCCCCCTCCTCCCCCTCCCTTCTTCTCTTTCACCAAGTCTCTTGATGGTTTTTTATTGTTCCCCATCTCAATGTATGACCAGTAGAAAGCTTTACAAGGTGGTCGAAATAGGCATAGGAGCCCCCTGGAAGCCATATTGCTCAGTTTCCTTCATCTTCCTTTTCTTTGTTCATTCATTCATGCTACAAGCGTTTGTTGAGCTTTCTGTGTGCCAGGCAAATTTTAAACATTTCTAGAAAATTTCAAACATCATGAGCTTAGTTAGTATCCAGTTGCATTTTGAGTGACACATAGGATGTTGCTGACATAGTACAGCAATTTATCATAGTGCGTGGTCCAGTTGCTATGCTGGAATAAGACAAGTTCCCTGAGGAGCCTCATGACTTACAATTCCCTTCCACCTGGACAAGTTGGAGAGCCATCAAGAAAGGTTTTTTTGTCAAGTATAGAGGTTTGCTGCTTGAAGTGTGGTCCATAAACCAGCAGCATCAAAAACTTATTAGAAATGCAGAATTTGGCTCCACCCCAGGCCCCCTGAATCAGGCCCCAAGTAAAGGACATTCTATGGAAAGGATACTGTGCCAGGCACTAAGTGATCCCCCAAAATTAGCTGCTACCAATGTTCTTTCCTTCTTATCAACATCACTGCTATTGATTAGTCCATAATTGTGAGAAAGAACCTGTGAGATGTCAAATTTTTGCTTTTAAGCTCTTTTTGGCATCCAAAGAGAAGTAAACACCACGTTTCTATTTCTTTCTCTTTCGTTTGTCTGTTCTTCTTGGCATTGAGCGTGTGGTAGTACTTTAATAGAGAGAGCCCCAAAAAAGTCCTTGGTTAGACACACATTCTGCAAACCCCAAACCTCTTGGAACATCTCACAGCTGGGCTTCAAATGACAGCTTGCCTTTAGATTTTTAATTACTGAATTCCCGAGACCCTGCTGTGGTAGAACAGGTCACTTCTAGCCAGATAGTCTCCGTGGTGAGGACCTGCACGTGCCTCCTCCTTGTAAGGTGGGAGCTTTTCTGATGGAGATATTTCCCTCACATGTACTGATAAATTAAATTTGAACACCAAAAGATTTAAATGATGTGAAACATAATATAGAAAGCATGAAAGAAGCAGTAGCGTTTTAGGGTCTCATCGAAAATGGACTCATGCCTATAATCCCAGCACTTTGGGAGGTGGAAGTGAGAGGATTGCCTGAGACCAGGGGTTCGAGAAAAGCCTGGGCAACTTGGCAAGACTTCGTCTCTACAGTAAATCAAAAAATTAGCCAGGCGTTGTGGCACACACCTGTGGTTCCAGTTATTTGGAAGGCTGAGGCAGAAGGATAGCCCAACCCCAGCATGTTGTTCCACTGTAGTCCAGCCTGGGCAAAAGAGTGAGACTCTGATGGGGGGAAGGAGAGGGAGAAGGAGAGAGGGAGAGAAAATAGGACTTCTAGTGCTTTTTCTTGCTAATATTTGCCCTTGTTATTCTGATCTTAGTATTTTAGCTTAAAATGATCATTTTGCCTAAAGCTTACCTGGTTTTAGGCAGAAAGCCCTAGGGCTAAAGTTTTCCTGTTTTTTGCAGAATCCAGAGTCATCTCTGGGGAGACTCCCCTTTAGCAGAGCTGAGATCTCCTCCCAGCCTGGCCTCTGCTGAGCTGTGGAAACTACTGGGCAACCTTCCCTGGAGGCCCAGAACCTTCTCCTCATCTGTAATACCGCTGTCTGTAGTTCCTTCCCATGATTAAACTCTTGGGCTTCATTTTTCAGAGTTGGTCCTTGATAACATTGTAAAGAGGAAAAGTTTTTCCTTTTAGTATTTAATTTTCTAGTATTTTCTCCTTACTCTCTTGATCTTTACTGTGTTTGGGGCTTTTCTGTTTTATCTGCCCTACTCACCATCAAATTTCATCTTCCAGAGAGAGGTGAATACAGACACACAGAGACCTTGATACATAGGTCAATGGGTTCTAGTTTTTAACCTCTTACTATTTGTCTTTTTTTTTTTTTTGGAGTTTGAGTCTCACTCTGTTGCCCAGACTGGAGTGCAGTGGCCGCTCCCAGCCACGCAGCCTCAACCTGCTGGGCTCCAGCGATCCTTCTGCCTCAGCCTTCCAAGTAGCCGGAATTACAGGTATGTGCTACCACGCCTGGCTAATTTTTTGATTTATTGTAGAGATGAGGTCTCACCAAGTTGCCCAGGCGGGTCTCGAACCCGTGGGCTCAGGCAATCCACTCACCTCAGCCTCCCAAAGGCACGGGATTACAGGCTGAGCCACCAAACCCTGCTTACTATATGTCTTAATTGAGGTGCAGTAGATTGGGGAGAAGGTTGGGGAACTTGAGGGAAGGGGGTCAGGTCTCTGAATCTCTCTTCTTCACGAACATTGCATAGAGCCAATTCTCAGACTAATGACAATGATTTGACACTTATTCATAAAATGTTATAAATCTTACAATTAACTATCTAAGTTTCTCTACCAATTTCTTGTTTCAAAAAAATTGTTAGGACTGGGAGCAGATGATCTAAGATGTATATATCTCAGGGCATGTGACATTTCTCTGAAAAAAGTGTTTTGGATTTAGATGTGCTTTTTAAAATCAAACATCC